TGCAGAAGAGACACACGTGCACTGACCTGGGTGAACTGCGCAGCTACCTTGGCTTGCAGATCACCCGGGATAGAGCACGCCGCACCATTACCCTGACTCAGTCACACATGGTGCAGCAGGTCCTTCAGCGCTTCGGCTTCACGTACTCCTCGCCTCAGGCCACTCCTCTGCCTACTCGCCACTCACTCTCAGCTCTGCCTTCGGATGAGTCCGTAGAGTCGAGTGGCCCGTTTGCAGAGCTTGTTGGCTGCCTCATGTACTTGATGACCTGCACACGACCTGACCTCGCATACCCTCTTAGCATTCTCGCACGCTTTGTTGCTCCTGGGAGACACCGACCAGAGCACATGGCTGCAGCAAAGAGGGTGTTGCGCTACTTGTGCAGTACGTCGGGCATGGGGCTAGTGCTTGGAGGGCGCAGTCCAGTGGTCCTCACTGGGCACGCAGACGCTTCTTGGGCTGACGACCAGGCTACGCAGCGGTCGTCACAGGGTTACTCCTTCAGCCTTGGTTCCGGCTCTGTCTCGTGGCGGGCTACCCGCTCGTCTTCTGTTCTCGGCTCCAGTTGTGAGGCTGAGATCTACGCTGGGGCTATGGCTGCACAGGAGTTACGCTGGCTCACCTACCTGCTGACCGACCTTGGAGAGCCGCCTCGTTCTCCTCCAGTCCTGTACGTAGACAACAAGGCCATGCTGGCCTTGTGTCGAGAGCAGCGACTGGAGCACAGAACGAAGCACATTGCTCTCCGCTACTTTCTTGCTCGTGAGCTACAGCAGCGTGGACAGTTGCGACTTGCGTACGTGGCCTCTGAGGCCAACACTGCTGATGTCTTCACCAAGGCACTTGCGCCTTGTGATCATCAGCGTTGTTGCACGCAGTTGGGTCTTGTGCCTGTCTTGCCTCACTTGCTCTGCTCTTGACCTTGCTTGTACCTTCACCTATATATACTCTTGCTCTTGCTTGCTTGACTCTTGTATATCTCTATATATGATCTTGCATGTGAACTGGCCTTCTGGCCTTTGAACTTGTGCTCGGAATGCGTGGTGACTTTGTGATCCACCCTGAGCTTTGCTTTGCTTTGCTTGACTGGTCTTGTGACCCCTTGTTCTCCCCCACTTTGCCTATGGGGGTGTGTCAGAACATATAGCTTACTTATTTCTGTAGGCTATAGTGGGGTATCCCATAGGGGGTACAACCCAATTAGGGTTTCCTATTTGTACCCACTTCTTTTTCATAGTCATTCACTTCTCGTTCGTACTTTCTCACCCTACTCCTCTCAGTGGCAGGCAGCTATGGATGCAGAGATGGCTTCCTGGAAGTCCACAGGCACCTACGTTGACGCGGTTCCCCCTCCTGGGGTGAACATCGTCAGTGGCATGTAGATCTTCAGGGTGAAGCGGCCGCCGGGCTCTCCACCTGTCTTCAAGGCGCGGTACGTCGCTCGTGGCTTGAGTCAGCGGCAGGGAGTTGACTACTTTCAGACCTTCTCTCCCACCCCGAAGATGACCACTCTTCGGGTGCTGCTACACATAGCCGCTCAGCGCGACTACGAGCTTCACTCTCTCGACTTCAGCACTGCGTTCTTGCAGGGTAGCCTGCACGAGGAGATCTGGCTGCGCCGTCCACCTGGCTTCACTGGGACTTTCCCTCCTGGCACCCAGTGGAGCCTCCGACGGCCAGTCTACGGTCTCCGCCAGGCACCGCGTGAGTGGCACGACACACTGAGGACTACGCTTGCGGCTCTTGGGTTTGCTCCTTCTACTGCTGACCCGTCGCTGTTTCTGCGCACCGACACTTCTCTACCGCCGTTCTACATCCTCGTGTACGTCGACGACTTGGTCTTTGCCACAGCGGACACTGCTGGACTCGCCTACGTGAAGTCCGAGCTGCTGAAGAGACACACGTGCACAGACTTGGGTGAACTGCGCAGCTACCTTGGCTTGCAGATCACTCGGGACAGAGCACGCCGCACCATTACCTTGACTCAGTCACACATGGTGCAGCAGGTCCTTCAGCGCTTCGGCTTCACGTACTCCTCGCCTCAGGCCACTCCTCTGTCTACTCGCCACTCGCTCTCAGCTCTGCCTTCGGATGAGTCCGTAGAGTCGAGTGGCCCGTACCCAGAGCTTGTTGGCTGCCTCATGTGCCTGATGACCTGCACACGGCCTGACCTTGCATACCCTCTGAGCATTCTTGCACGCTATGTTGCTCCTCGGAGACACCGACCAGAGCACATGGCTGCAGCGAAGAGGGTATTGCGCTACCTGTGCAGTACGTCGGGCATGGGGCTAGTGCTTGGAGGGCGGAGTCCAGTGGTCCTTACAGGTCACGCGGACGCTTCTTGGGCTGACGACCAGGCTACGCAGCGGTCGTCACAGGGTTACACCTTCATCCTTGGTTCCGGCTCTGTCTCGTGACGGGCTACTCGTTCGTCTTCGGTTCTCAGCTCCAGTTGTGAGGCTGAGATCTACGCAGGGGCCATGGCTGCACAGGAGCTTCGCTGGCTCACCTACCTGCTTACTGACCTTGGAGAGCCGCCTCGTTCTCCTCCAGTGCTGTACGTAGACAACAAGGCCATGCTGGCCTTGTGTCGAGAGCAGCGTCTGGAGCACAGAACGAAGCACATTGCTCTTCGCTACTTTCTTGCTCGTGAGCTACAGCAGCGTGGACAGTTGCGGCTTGCGTACGTGGCCTCTGAGGCCAACACTGCTGATGTGTTCACCAAGGCATTCGCGCCTTGTGACCATCAGCGCTTCTGCACCCAGCTGGGTCTTGTGCCTATTTTGCCTCACTTGCTCTCCTCTTGACTTTACTTGTACTGTGACATATATATACCTGCTCTTGCTTGTCTAGCTTTATATATATGTCTGTACTCTTGCATGTGAACTGGCCTTTGGCCTTGCTCTTGTGCTCGGACTGTGTGGTGACTTTGTGATCCACCCTGAGCTTTGCTTTGCTTTGCTTGACTGGTCTTGTGGCCCCTTGTTCTCCCCCACTTTGCCTATGGGGGTGTGTCAGAACATATATATAGCTTATGCTATTGTGTAGGCTGTAGTGGGGTATCCCATAGGGGGTACAACCCAACTAGGGTTTCCTATATGTACTCACTTCATTCATAGTTCATTCATTCTCTTTCTATTCTCATCATATTTTTATGTACCTTGTTCGATTTTTCAGATTTTTTTTTTTATGAGTTGTCTGAAACTTCAGCCTTATCTTAGATCCGCCTGCACATGTTTGCGTGATTACGAGATTTCTAAGACAAAATCTCGTCACATATAAGCTTTTATTAATGTATTACAAAGATTAGACGATTTTGATGCAGCACGCACTGCTGTGAAATTGTGAAGCTCCTGATTCGTAGTGAAAGTTTCGTACGGCACTGCCAGATGCTCACACGCCACGCCAAACAGTTTCTGCCTGCTGCCAGCTCAGCTGCGTGGCACTTGGCCCACCTGGTACGTGACAACAACCAGATCGGGTGAACGATCGCATCGCTTGAAACGCAAATCCAAAATAGACAAAATCGGCACACTGCGAGAAAATGGCTACATAACGGTAATCACACACACGATTTCCCAAGCACGGCACCGCACTGTTCCGTTGGTATGCTGTAATCAGCTTCAATGCTCTATAACTATTCTTTTATGGAACTGCATGATCATCTTACAATTTGAAGGTAACTCTGACAGTTCAGACAAAAAAGTTGTGTTTGTTTGAATTTTCAGACTAGAATTTTGAGGCACCTCTGACAGAGGGGGTTCCAGGAGGGGTGTACACTGATCGATCAGAGTGCCTCAAAACGAATCTAGGGGCCTGAATAGCGCGCGGGGCAGAGCAGGGCAGAGCGACAGCGCGCGGGCTTGGCAGGGCAGGGCAGCGTGACAGTACGGGGCAGGGCAGGGCAGTGCGTGACGGCAGCAGCACCTGGGGCAGAGCAAACGGCGGAACCTAGGGGAAAAAAAATGCTTTGAAGCCATGTCAAAATCTAGAATAGCGGAATGATTGAACTGAAACAGAATGTTGTACAAGTACCTAACCCTAACCCGGTTGTACCCTTGGGAAAGTAACCCGCTACAGCCTATAACCACAAAATGTAGTTTGACAAGCCCTTCAACCAGTCTCTTGTGCTGCCCGCTACCCTCGTGTCATGCGCGGGCCTGGGTATTGCTGGGTGGTGCAGAAATGTGGGTGCAGCACAGCGTGTGACCTCGAAACAGGGAATGCAACTCCTTCTATGCACCCTTGTACCGTATAGTTCCGGCTAGAAGACCCGCCGGTAAGAAGGTCCCCCGGGACTCTTGAATGGGTAGGGGGACTCTTATTGTGGCCGATTTTGTGAGGACCCCCCCTTGGCCTCTAATCATCATAAGACCCCCCTTTTCTGTATACAAAAGTTATAATTGATATTGTGCGTCAGCTTTTACTGGAATAAATCCGAATTCTGACACGCTTTTTGTGTCAGACTCGAACTCTGACACAGATCTGACGCGCCGCATGCGCAAAATTTGCGCAAATTCGTTACGAATATAAGACCCCCTCACCCCAAATTGAGTTGTACACCCTAAATATCAGATTGATAATTGACAAATAGGTTACCCCGGGTCTTAAAAAAATGCTGCCGCCATAATGTCCACCCAAGCACAATTTAAAGCATTTGTAGAGAGTCCCCCAGGTCTTCTAGCCGGAACTATACGGTATAAAACTTCTTACCGTACCCTCCATCCACCCATGTATGAAACCTCACACTCCATCTACCCGCGTCGCATGCGCAGGCCTAGTGCGAGGTGGTGCAGCACTTGAGCATGCAGCACACCATTGGTGGCCACCACTCCCCCTCCATGCGGACTGAAATACGTCAAGCTGCCATTGCTGCCGTCATTGCATCCTTGGTCGGGTGCATGTGTTGTGGCCGCACGTGCCGCTTCCTGATCAGCCTGCCCCACCTCCCCACCCAGTTCAAGCGGTTGCCCTGCGAAATCGGTTACCTGATGGGTGAGTCAGGGAGGGACGGGACGGGGATAGGACTTGCAGTGAGGGAAGGGGCAGAAAAGGGAGGAGCAAGGAGGGGAGCAGCAGGGAGGGGATGGGCAGTGAGGAGAGAGGCAGCAACGGGAGGGACCGGAAGGGGAAGAGAGGAATTGAGATCTCCAAGTGAACCATCCGTGTTGAACTCTTGTGTGTGCGTGCGGTGACATTGGGAAGGCAGTGGCTACAGCCCATGTGTTAGCCTGCAGTGGGTGCTGGCGACTACAAACGGGAGCAAGGTGCAAGTGACTTGCAGCAAGGGGGGAGCGAGCAAGGCGCACCTGTCCGCCTGCCTCGGTGACGCAGAGCACGCCAGCAGCGTGGTCCCACACCTTGAGGTGCGGGCTGCCTGGCAGCGGGTGCTGAATGAAGACTGCTGCATAGCCTAGCGCCACCGCTGCGTACTTGCACAGACTGGCAGGGGGAGGGGAAAAAATGGGGGTGGGGACAGGAAGAGAGATGGTTGTATGCACAGTGCTACTGCCAGCGCCACTCCTACGTACTTGCACAAACTGACGATGGGAGAGGGGGAGGGATGGGAGGCATACGAGGAGACGTGGTTACTGCATGCACAACGCTGCTGCACAGCCCAGAACCACTTCCCATACTTGCAAAAACCGCATGGGGGAAGGGGGAGAGGCACCCGAGGAGAGATGCGTTGATGGGCTGGCAAGTATGGCAGCCTCATGGCGGCACGCACCCTGCTGCTGCATAGTCCAGTCCAGTGCTACCCACCAGCTCATAGCTGGAAATGTTGAATGGGAGAAGGGGAATGGACAAGCTCGGGACGTAAGAGTTCAGTTGATCCAGCAGTAAAGCCCCAATGGTAAAGACTGTAAACCGCCTCCCCTGTGCACCTCCGCACCCACCTGCCACAGCAGAGCGGCAGCACGGTGACATGCGAGGCGTTCGGCGCGGCGGCTTCCAGGCCCCTCGCGAGGGGCAGCGACGGCCACTCCTCGTGGTCCGATATGCACACACACAGCCGCCTGCTGCTGCTGGTGGGGGGGATGGGGGTAGGGGGGGGTGGGGTTGGGGGTGGCAGTGCTGCTGTGGACGCCATGTGATGCCAGCACTGCACCACTGCTGATGCTGCTGTGGCTCTGGCTGGCGGGACCATGGCTGCTGTGCCTGCTGCTGCTGCTCTCATCCCACGCACTGCCATCCCAAGGTGTGCCCCGGAGCGGGTGTGTCTGGTCGGCGCTGTGCTCGTGGGTGGTACCGCATGCCAGCATGTTGCGCACCCCCACGTCCACGTGCACCCGCTCATACGCCCACTCCACACCTCCACTGGCGCTGCTGCTGATGTTTGGGTTGCTGCTGTGCGTGATGCTTGTTTGGCTGCTGCTGTGTAATCGCCGCATCCACGCCCCTCCTCCCTTGGTAGCTGCTAGGATCACTCCACGTGGCCTCTGCCACATGTCATCTCCTGATTCACTCTCCACGTCAACCTCACCAGCTGCTGCAGACCCTGTCACGTCAGCAGCGTCGTTCGATTGAGTGGCTGAGGAGGTGCCACGTGGCAGGGGCATGTTGGGAAGGCCAAGGGCTGAAAGGACGAGCTCTCCGTCCTGGATAAGAGCCATCCCGACCTGAGGGAGGGGAGAAATGAGCATCGAATGAATTACATAACATGCAGACAGCCTTCAGACGCCAATTTGGCGTAAGAGCGAGGGAAGAGAATAATGAGAACAAGAAGTTGACGCAATAGAACACATTGGCACAATGCAACTCACTGCATCTTGACGCAATGCATTGGATCAGAACAGACCACCCACGTCACGGCGTAACTGATTCCTGCCCGGAGGGGCACTCCCTGCTCTCTCCTATAATAAGCTAGACAATCAAGGGGACGTAGACTTCTACATACTACTACGCTTTCGATAGGAATCTGAACATGTTTGTCTTGCCAATAAACTTTCTACATCATTTAGAGACATTTCTAATAAGTCTGCAATAGGGCACGAGCATGAGGGGCATCTCACAGCGTACTGGTTGTGGTGGCCCCTGAGAAAGCCTCGCGTGCCATCAATGGGGTCCAGCACCTGTGGTGTGCGACATGGGGGCATGCGACAGCATGCGACACAGCAGCATGAGAGCCAAGGCAAGCGTGAAGGAGGACAAACAGCATGCGACATGGCAGCATGCGACACGACAGCATGCGACATGGCAGCATGGGACACGACAGCATGGGACATAACAGTATGTGAGATAACAGCATGGGACATAACAGTATGTGAGATTACAGCATGGGACATAACAGTATGTGAGATAGCAGCATGCGACATAACAGTATGTGAGATAAAACAATGAGGGCCGAGGCAAGCGTGAAGGTATAGAAAAAAAAAAAAAGAGATTGAAGTGGAGAGGACAGGACAAAAAACAAGAAGAAAAGCTAGGTGTGGTGTGGGGCATGAGATGGATAGGGGGGCATGAGATGGATAGGGGGGCGGTGCAGAAAATGCGAAAGGAGGGGGGTTGGGGGGGAAAAGGGGATGTGAGAGATGGGGGAGAGAAGAAGGGTGCGGATCTTACCCAGTATCTCGTGTGCCTGGGAGCAGCAGTGGTCGCAGCATCAAGGTCGTGTGTGGCAGCAGCGGCGGCATCAATGGCTCCCAGCACTGCCTCCACTGCTGCCGCCCGCCCTTCACTCCCCTCCACAGCGCCTTCCCCTGCGCCACCCAGCGCCAAGGCGTGGGGCGAGGCGAAGCGGAGAACGAGGTTCGTGACCCGCTCCGCCAGCGAAGGCCCTTGCTCCCCGCCTCCTGCTGCCCCCGCTGCTGTGGTACCTGCAGCACCGGCTGCTGCTGCTGCAGTGGCTGACCCCACAGCAGCACCAGTCACTGCCTGTGCTGCTGGTGGCGAAGGCGTGCGGGCAGAGGGGGCAGCGAGGTGGGCGCGCAGCAGAGAGGCGTCCTCCTCGCCCACCAGTGGCACGCCGGGGAACTGCTGTGCCAGCTCTGACCATGATGGCCAGTGAGGGGTGTGGTGGACAGTGGGGGATGTGGTGGACAGTGGGGGATGTGATGGACAGTGGGGGATGTGGTGGGCAGTGGGGGATGTGATGGGCACTGGGGGATGTGATGGACAGTGGGGGATGTGATGGACAGTGGGGGATGTGATGGACAGTGGGGGATGTGATGGACAGTGGGGGATGTGATGGACAGTGGGGGATGTGATGGACAGTGGGGGATGTGATGGACAGTGGGGGATGTGATGGACAGTGGGGGATGTGATGGACAGTGGGGGATGTGATGGACAGTGGGGGATGTGATGGACAGTGGGGGATGTGATGGACAGTGGGGGATGTGATGGACAGTGGGGGATGTGATGGACAGTGGGGGATGTGATGGACAGTGGGGGATGTGATGGACAGTGGGGGATATGATGGACAGTGGGGGATGTGATGGACAGTGGGTGATATGATGGCGCACGGAGTGTTGTTGGTTCTGGCAGGGACTGTTCAGGGACTTCACGCGAAGAAAGAAAGTACTGGCCGATGCAGCGTCAATCCATGCTTGACAGGAGCAACTAAAGGAGAACGAAGTGAAGGTGGAGGGATGGAGAGGAGTGAGTGGAGGGGCAGCCGGAGAAGCACATACAGGTGGGGTGCGACCCACTGACGCCCAGGCTACTGCCACACAAGCAGGCCGCTGGCCGCCCGCCTTGTGGCTTGGCACGGGGAGGGGGAAGAGATCACCCACCGAGAGCAGCAAGGGGGGGAATAGCAAAGCACCCACCGAGAGCAGCAAGAGCCTGCACGGCGAAGTCAGCAACAGTGACGGGCGAGCAGTCCTTCTTGTCCACGCTGCTGCTGCTGCTGCTGCTGCCCTCGCTCTCACTGCCACTGCTGTACCCCCCCTGCTCCTCCGCTACCATCTGCTCCCTCACCTGCCGGAATCAGGAGAAGGAATACGAGCATGTGAGATCACGTGAGAGAGGGGAAAGCGCATGGCGAAGGTGGCAAGGTGTTCTTGTGGCTGGTGAGAAAGGACGGAACGGAAAGGAAAGGGGGGCCAGGGGAGGGTACGACAATGATGGGAAAGGAAAGAGGCGAGAGGATAGGATAGGAACGGGAGGAGGGAGGAGAGCGGAGGCAATTATACTCACAGCAAGGCACACGTGGCATGCCCTCTCCACCACTTCCACTGCCGCTGCCAGCTCAGCAGCTAACTCCGGCTTACAAATGCCGATAACATCAGCAGCCACGTCAGATGCTGTGGCGGCATTTCCCGACGCTGCTGCATGAGAAGAAACGGAGAAAGTTCCCAGAGGGGCGCGATGGAGGCTGGCAGGAGGGAGGGTGGGGGTGTCAGGGAGGAGAGGAAAGGGAAACAAGGGGGATGGGACATGCAAATAAGAAAAAACGTGTGATGTGATTCTAAATTGCAGGCCAGGGCGCCAGTGACACCACTAATGTGAAACAAATCTCATCATCTGGGACCAAGATGCCTTGTTCATAGCTACCAGTCCAACGGTCAACACAGCAGTGACCATCTGGGCCTCTCACAGTTGTGGTCCTGCACCAATCAGGAGGTGGTAAGGGAACAGTACAACGAAGGACAAACAATAAAGTATGTTTTTAAAGGGGCAGAACTCTACCTTGGCGCGTTCACACTGCCGGAAAACGAGCGTCTGTGACCCGCGACGCTGACTCCTGGGCTCGCGGGATTTGGCGTGACGCGGAGAGCAGCCACGTGGCCAACAGGCAATCGTCTAGCTGAAAAGGCGGAACCGATTTGCGGGAACAAATGCACTTGCTCTTGACATAGGCGTGCGCGCAGCATGCGCGGAGTATGGCGCGGCTCAGCAAGAGGCTTGAGCCAAGGTGCCTGGAGAGATTGCGCCATGATAAGGATGAGAGAATCAAGGAGAAAGGTAATGAAATTAAATTCGTCCCATGCTCTCTGGAAAACAGCGTCTCAAATTCCAATACTGATGTCTCAAGTAGGGGCTATGTTGAATGGAAACACGACGAAGGTGTAGTGTCGTTCATGGGTGGTGTTGTCGCGAGGGTGGGCATGCTCGATAACGAGGGTTACGTACGCAGCCTCGCTAGGTCGAGACTTCCCACATTGGCGGAATTGTGGTGTACGCCAATCGCGAGATCGCTAATGTATGTACACTGACCTTAGGCAATTTCGCCTTCTTACTTATAATGATAACATCACATCACAGCATTCAATGACAGCAGGCTTGCAGTCTCAAACTCTTGGACTAGTTACTGGCCACGCAGAATGAAAGGGCTCAGGACTCATAAGACAGCAATAACTGAATAAACTCAACATCACTATTCATTCCTACAGTCTCAACTGTTCACCCAGGATTCCGTGCCATTTAGGGTGCATTCTGCTGTGGACACATGTCCCAATCGATGTGTCCCAATCGAGTGTACCGCTCCGAACCGAACTAAACCAGAGACGTGAAAATTTCGAAACTAGGGTGCAATTTGGTGTAATACGATGCAGTGCGGTAGAAACGATTGGGACACATCGATTGGGACATGTGTCCACAGCGGAATGCACCCTTAGTGTCCCCTTCACGTTATCCTTATCCGCGTAGCAGAATCTGTCTCGCATGTTCCCTACCAGAGCACCATTCTAGCAGGCTGCAGGTGCGGCCTCCCAAGCGGGCTCAAAGTCATCCATGGAGACAAACGTCCTGACCCTAACTATGGAGTTGAACGACACCTTCTTTCGCATCTGCGACAGCCTCGTTCCTTTCTCCCCCGTCTTGGCAGGCGGTGAGACAGGCACCATAGGGGGCGAAGAGGAGAGCATTGAGGACGATACGCTGCGATGTGGAAGCGATGCACACGGAAGTGCTCCCGCAGGCAAGGGATCGTGAGCGGAGGGGAGAGGGACTTGCATTCCTGGAACTTCACCACATGAAATTGCTGCGGCATTTGCAGCACCAGCAGCGGCGGCCGCTGGTGTGTGGAGAGGCGCTGCTGGTGGTGCTGCTTGCAAATGGGGAAGATCGGAGCAGGAGGAGATCTTCCGCGGCGTGCCTCTCCTGTACAGACGACGCATGCTGGTCCCAGTATGCAATTTGGCAGGCACTGATTGGTTGGCGGCGGCTGAAGCATCAGGGCTGGGAATGGCACAGGAGTAGAGCATGGAGCACTCCGGCGAGCTGCAGAGATGCGTGCTGCCCCCGATGGGGGGACCACAGATGCTACCTTGGTCGTCAACCAAATTCCCGCAGCTGCTGGCGCCCAGCATCCGTGCCTCGTTGAACGTTCCCATGGCCCCTGTCGTTGTTCCCGTTCCCGATACTGCTCCGTCTGCCCCAGTCCTCGTCCCCACTCCCAGTGGGGCTCTTTCTGTGCCTGTGCTCATCCTCATTCCCGATTGCTTGTCCTCCATGAGAGGAGAGCGGTGCAAGGCAGGGTCGTCGGGGCAAGGATTCAGCTTCTGGGTGCGGAGTGAAGAAGGACTCAACGGATCCAGAGAGGCACGACGTGCCGTAAGAGTTGGACTGCATGGCAAAGAATGAAGGTCGTCCCGTGGGGTGTGTGCTGCATGCTCAAGTGACTTGGATTCCACAATGCTGCCACCAGTAGCACCACCACCACCACTGCCACCACCATCAGTGGCGGCAGCAGCTTCAGAAGCAGCATCACCACCACCAGCAACAGCATTAGACGCAGCAGCAACGGATGCCAGCAAGCCATCGTTGAAAGAGACGGACCGACACAACCTCCTCATGCTCCCTCCTTTTGGCGTCACCACGCCACGCCTGACGCTCCATGATGACCTGTCACCTGCACCGCCGCTCAGGCTCCCTAACTGATCCCCTCTAAGAACACCTTCGTTACTGCCACTTTCCCTTGCGGCCGTTAAAGTCCCATTCCATCCATTGAGGCTTCGACTCGATGTCATCAGAAGCTGCCAGGAAGCCCCCCAGGACGGCTTCGTAGCACCAGCAGCAGTCAGGGGCAAGGAATCCGCAGCAGACTCGCCTGCTGCGCTCTTGCTTGGAGCACCCTTGGCTGGCGCACACGCGGAACAGCCTTGGGAGTCGCGCAGCAGCAGCGCGCCCCACGCCTCGTCCATGTGCGCCTGCCGCGCCTTCGCCTCCGCTGCGCGCTGCTGAATGAGCTCCGCGTGCGGGCTGCGCACGGCCGTGGGGGACAGCGGCTGCCACCTCACAGGAGTGACACGCGTGGGGGACGGCGTGATGTTTAGAGGAGGAACGGGTGTTTCAAGCGCTCGGCGTGCTGCGAGGGTGGAGGCGGTGCGCTGGTCGAGTCCAGGTGTGATTGCAGATGCTCGTGAGACCGGCGAGCGTAGGAGTCGCGGGGAGGGTGGAGGGCGCGGGGAGGGTGGAGGGCGCGGGGAGAGCCGGGTGGTTGGGCTGGGAATGGCAGCGGAATCGCTGGTAACAGCCGGTCCTCGTCTTGATGGTTGGCTCGTCAACACAATGCTGCTGCTGTCTTGGGTGCTGCCTTGCGTGCTGCTGACTGGCATGGCGCCAGTAATCGTGCCGGCCAAAAGCGGTGCTGTGGCCACGTGCGCAGTGCTGGATCAGGTGTAATGCGGGGTAGCACGGGAACGGGAGGAGGAAAGCAAAGGGAGAAACGGTGAGTTGGAGAGGTAGTGGAGAGCTGAGACTTGCGGGGGGGAGAGGGAAAGCGATAGAAGCGCGAAAAGGACTCCTCGGATGAGAGGGTGGTAGTAGGAGCGAGTTGGGGAACAGAAAAAGGCGGAAACGAGGCAGTTGACAGCAGGAAGAGGGGCACAGGGTTTGCTAGACTACTGGATAGTGCGGCCGACACAGGATCACGTAGACACAGGCAATGAGGGTCCGTCAACATGGGCTTATGCACGGAGAAAACGAACACAGCAGGAAGGGACCAGCAGCAGCTTAATAAAAAAAAACTATAGGCTACCAAATTAGGCTGTATATGCAATCATGATGTGCACCAAGACAGCGTATCATGCTCTACCACTCCAGGGCGGAAAGCGTGAGTCCTCACGAACCAGGATGAGACATGGGAAGCACTCGCCGCTGGGCTGCTGATAGAAGGCGGCTCGCACGTATCGCCCCCAACGGTCGGCTTGGAAGAAACTACACAGGGCCCGCCGACCGTCGCCCTGATCCAATCTCTCTTCCGCCTGGACTCCTCTCGCGAGGGCGAGGGCGTCTGAGGTGACAATAACGAGGCCAGCGACGGCGGCGATCTGTCCAAGCTTTGCGCGGAGGAGAGGGACAGGGCGGGCGAGATGCGAGGATCGGCCGATTCTGGCAGGGCGGGGGACGACAAGGAGCGCGAGAAACGTGCTCCTAGCAACGCCGCGGCCCTGCCAGGGGATAACCCGGCCGCCGCCGCTGGCTCCGAGCCGCCGGCGGACAAAGGTGGCGGAAAACCTTCCGACGATGAGTGCTGCGTTGTGTCACGCACGTTCGTGCCACCCGCGCTGTTACTACCAGCGCTGAGGTGAAATAAGGCCGCGGTTGGTCGCCGGGCTGACGCCTTAGTGTCCAATGCTTCGTCGCGCCGCCCGCTGCTCGGCGGAGCCTCAGTGTCGAGTCGTTCGTCCAACCAAGCAGCCGGCCTGGATGCGGCGACTCGGCGGAAGTTGGAGACGGTAGGAAGGTTCAGCAAGAGATCGGGTTTCCGCGATGAGCGCCGGGTTTGGAGCGACTGCGAAATCATGTTGTTGGATGGATGTGGCTTGGGATAGGAGCGGGCCATCCTACTACTAACGAACGTCTCTCGGACTGAATGCCTTATGGTTCGCAAGTGACACGCGTTGGGGGGGTGGATTGCTGCGGGACCCAAGAGAGAACCTGCTCCTCCCAAGAGTGAATTGCTCCTCCCGATTGAAGTTGAATGGCGTGGCGTGCCGTTGTCGGACGAGTCACGAATCTGCCAGAAGCCGTACTGTAGAGTCATATCGAAGTTTGTGCCGAACGCCATCGTTTTGAACACGTTTTTGCAACAGTTGAATCGGTCGTGGCCGTGCGGCGCACGCGAGTTCAAGCGAGTGACGAAGTGCGCACTGCGCAGGGGTTCTAGTCTAGGTGCGTTAGTGGAAGGTATTAGCATGAGTAGTGTGACATGATTGGTGCAGCCGCTTGACTACGGGCAGCTTACAGTACACCTGTTCCGCGATAATTTCACACCCCCTATCTTCAACCCCTTTGTCCTTTTCCGGGGCAATCTGACCAGGGGCGGCAGAAAAGTGACCAAGGGGGTGCACGCGCGGCTGAGTCAGCAAGGGGTCATTTCATGTTTGACCTGGGCGCGAAATCGCTTTTCCAGGCACAATCCAGAAATTCGCATCCGCAATCCTCCGATTGCGGATGTTTCAAATTTCTCACGTGTTCAATTCGCATTGGCGAAAATCACAGCGCCAAAAACGCGACCACACAAAAAAATGCACGCATTCTTCCTTGAATCAAGTACACATGAACCTGACGTGTACAAATTAGAATGTCCAACCCAGCTTCACCATCTCTCGAAACCCAGTCTCAAAATTCAGAACAAACTCATTCGACACCAGAGACTGCCACATTTCTCGCCAGCGTTTTTTCCACCTCCTAACAGCCTTCCCAGCATAACAGAATGCCTAAGCCTAAAAAAAATGCAGCTCTAACTCGTGTCGAGAAGGCTGCATTATGCGAGTATCGTGTTAGGAACCCGAACTTGTCGCACAAAGAGCTTGCGTTATGGTGCTTCACGAACTTCAAAAAACACCCGTGTCGTAGCACTGTATGTAAGATACTAAAAGCCTCAACCAAATGGACAGCCCCCTCTTTACTCCCCACAGACCGTAAACGCCTCCGTGAGGGAAAGTTTCCCGCCCTTGAGGCCAGGTTGCATGCGTGGGCTGTTAGGCACACTGCAGCGAATTTACCGATCACCTTCCATGTTCTTCTTCAAAAGTCGGAGGCATTTGCCAAAGCTATGCGTCTTCCTAGCGATTTCACAGTCTCTCCCGGGTGGTTATGCCGCGCGCTTGCACGAATGGGGATGTCGTCGTATCAGAGGAAGGGTGAGGCGAAGGATGCTAATGCTGAATCCATTGCCCTCGCTAGGGAGACCATACCGAAAATCCTCAAAGATTTTGGGTACGAGGCCGCGGATGTGTACAACATGGATGAGACCGGATTTATCTCCGGTCAACAACCGCGTCGCACGTACGCGAACGAATCCGTGGCGGGAGGGAAGTTAGACAAAGAACGGTTTACCCTTGCATTGTGTTGCAACGCCGATGGCACCGATTTGATGAAACCAATCGTCATTGGAAAGGCATTGCGGCCGACTTCATTCCGGAACGATTTCAACGTGGACGACTACACTTGGTACCGTGCAAATAGGCGTGCATGGATGACCTCAGAGGTAAGCAATGAATACCCCCGCCACTTCCCACTTGTCGTGTATGCAAACATTATTTCCAACTTACTCACAACTCTCTTTGGCTTTCTTGTGTTGCGCATAGATCTTCACCCAATGGGTGGACGCGGTGGACGGCGACATGGGATTCAAGGACCGGAAAATCGCAATATTGGTGGACAATGCAAGCGCACACAACATCAATAACATCGAGGGAAAGCGCGAGTTTTGGAGGGACGGGATCAAGGTTGTGGAGCTTCCGAACGTGAGGGTAATTTATCTACCCCCAAACTGCACTTCCCACGTACAACCCTTGGATCAAGGTGTCATCGCAACATTGAAGTTGCGGTACCGGAAAATTTTGGTCACGTGGTTGCTTGATCAATTTCAGCGCACGCGTGATCAAGAGGCACGGAAAACTGTCCGGCCCGACTTGCGGACTGCCATTACATGGATATGTGGTGTATGGAGTACTATGGGTCGAGAGATCATAAGGAGGTGTTGGCGTCGGTCCGGTGTGGTGCCGTACAATTGGTTGGAGGAGTGGGGGTTGGAACGGTTATTTCAAGGACCTTCTAAGGATCCTGAGACGGCGGACATCACAGCTCTAGGTGTGTTAATGAAAAAACTGAAGATTGACGATCCTTTAATGACCGCTCGGGCGTTCGTTGGTTGTGACGACCACGTCGCCACTTCTACACGCGTTGCAAACGACACGGAGTGGGTTGGTAGGAGTTGGTGGACTGCCCAACCCGGAAACCGCGGCGTCCCATTCGATCTGAATGACGCGCCCCCCTCTGAGGCAGGCATGGATGCTGCAGATGCAGCAGCGGCAACGACGGCCTTGCATGAGTTCGCATCGGATTCCTCTATGGCGAGGTATGTTCGTCCCGCGGTTGATCGCGCCGCTGGTACCTACAGTTTTAGGGACATGCTTTCAGAAGACAACATGGCGTTCGCGTATGCTGGGCTAAACACATAGTGCTCCTTGTACCATTGCCTTTTAACGTGTGCAAGGAAGGAGCATTGTATCATGTTCCGAATTTCTGTTTTTGTTTGTAGGCCTTCATTTACGTTCAGGTGTACTTGCATTTTTCCAGTTATAGAATTTGTTTCTCTTGAGTTTTGCATTTTCGGAGGTGTGTCCAACACACAAGGAATGTTCAACAAAGTCAAAGCTGCTGAGTCAACTTTCGGATTTCACTTTCCACGCGCGCTGACTCAGCGCGCGTGAAATTAGACGGAACAGTTTTCTTACCCCTAACTTCACACCCCCCAGAACAGACAAAGCCGCGTGCGCGATTTTCAGAGTGTGAAAATAACGCGGAACAGGTGTATCTGTTTACTGTGTGACTGTGAATGTTGAATGTGATCGTGAGAGATTCCGATTTTTTTGTACGCGTCATTCCCCTTACACCTCCCCCCACTCTGCCTTTTCAGCTTTGTGCGAAAGCTGTGCGTCATTCATGCTGTCAGTTCGAGTCCGTAGGGTTGACATGTCAAGTGAGAGCAGGCCATCCCGAAGCCAATTTCATAAGTGTCCGACGATATGTATTGGCTAGCAACCTGCAATTTCTTGACACCCTGCCAACAATGTTGGCTGAGTGTCAAAATGCAAAATTGACATTGCCCACTTTGACATGTCATCCCCACGGACACGACCTCACTTGACCGCCAGGGACGTGGGTCAGTCAAGTTGAGATAGAAGGATGGTACACTTAATTTCAATGCTGACTCTTATGAGTTGTGAAAGTCGAGAGTGCACGGAGTTCAATAACGTGAAAGTGATTCCAACTAATGACTGAGTAATGAAGCCTAAGACAGATATAGCAAAATGCTAGCTAGGTGGGGTCTGCGGGATTGAGATGGTTGGGTGCTGGTTCAGGGTTGTCAAACCCGAAGGCGACACGAAGGACATTCGGAAGGCGAGGACATCAGATTGAGCCTGGTCTTCTGAAATTTCGATTTGTACGCGTACGGAGTGACCCAGTAAGGAATCCGGAAAAAAAAAATCTTACAATATCCCCCCTTTAAAGGTTAAGACCCAAATTGCGGGCCGCGCGAGGCAGGAGTACTATTCTTGCACACTTCTCGTTTTTTGTATTGTATGTTGGCAAAACTCTGGTTACGGTAGTTGCGATGTAATTTGATTGGTTGAAGCAACACTTACTGCAGAAACTCCATGCTTCTTAACTCTGCAATTTGGAACTCTCGGTCCCCAACCACAGAGCCTCTCCCGAAGTTCGTTGACACAGCGAAACCAACATAAGTGCAACAAAAACATACAAGCTGTTACGATATGGAATTGTCGTTTAACATTCTAGAAGTAACGAAGTTTCAATGCGATCATGACTGCGGCGAGGACGAAGGTTGAGCGACAAAACATGTTATCGAAGACGGTTGCGAGAAGGAATAGTTTGAAGTGCAAAGCGCGGGAAATGCATTCAAACAGTTACCGTGCCGCGTGCAGCTAC